CAATAGTGAGACGACTGGAGTCCAGAGAGTCACAGTGACTCTCTGATGTTTGTGTTAACGGTTATAACAGCCAAAAAAAAAAATACTGATGGTTGGCAGAGAAAGGCTGTTGAAAACAAACGTGTTAACATTCATATTCCACGTATATACTGCATACATTTACAGGTACACATTCCATTTCAGTGTTTAACATAAATCGGGATAATCACAGTGTAACAGAATTTCCCAAGTATGAAACGTAATCAAAATTACGAAACAATGACATCAGATGAAGCAAGTAACCTTCAACCTTGTTGGGATCTTGAAATGCAAACAGTCCAAGAGTACCTGAGGCAGGGCCAAGCAGCGATACAACATCTCTTAGCTCATCTGCCATTTATAGTCCAACACCAAGTTGGCCAACCTTAATTGGGCTGTGATCTCACAAGGACATCCCTGATTGTCATGATATGTGACAAATTATTCTGGCCAGATTGGTGGATTATTTTAGTGGTGCAATCTTTTAGCGAGCAACCAGTCAATAGGATGAATCTTGTACATGTAATTTGAATGACACAACATTTTGAGTAAATTAAATTGGAGGCATAAGATGGGGCCAGAGAGGGATCATTTTATTTCAAAAGAGCATTATAATATTCTAGTGTTAGGTTATACAGACAGCTTTAACATATATTGTATGACAATGTATGTGTTTTTTTAACACTGCAAACTATACTTTTAATATGGCTAGATGTTTATAAAATGCTGTAGTTCTGTGGGTCCGGAAATATTGTGATGTGTTTTCAGAGACCCCCTTCCTTCTCTGTATGTACTATCACTTGCTCATTTATTTTGGCGAGTCCACTTCTGGGGCCCTTCTCTTCGTCTCTTTCCTTTAATTATCAGGCAGGGCAGGGTGATTCCCGGAGGGTGTTCCCACCTCTGCTGATCTGCAATCGGGTGCCAGATGATTCACGTATTACGAGTGGTGTTTTGCCAATTGATAGTGCACACACTTGCCATTTTGGACAGTTCTCCAACATTAAGCCGGAGCTTCACCTTCTTGTTTGCGAGCTACTGGTGTGTCCTGAGCTGGATCATCAGACTCTCTTTCGCCTCTGCCAATAGTCTCCCATTCGCTTTTGGATCCACTGCTGCCTTTACTTTTGTAACCCACAACAAATATACTGGTCAGACAGCATAGTGCTGATCAAAAGTCACTTAAACAGCCACAAGTGCTGAGGATGGCTATTTCACAAAGTGCAATTCCAAACCAAAACACCACCCACAAAAACATAAATGTCAATTTTCAGCTGTTGGTGCAGAAATTCAACAGAAATGCCTGAAAGTTAACTGTATAACACCCGGATTGTAGTTGTTAAAACTAAGCCGGGAGAAGGAGACTTGAGGGGTGTTCACACAGCAACATTTGGTCCGACACTGCACCGGCGCTGCGCCAGTAGAGCGTTCACACGTGCAAATTTGCTCCAGCATAGCGCCGCAAAACAGCTTACACCTGATCAAATTTGATCCACCTCGGGGAGGTGGTTTAAAAATTTGCTCCAGAGCAAATGCTCGTTTGCGGCGCAGCACCGATGTAAATTTGCACGTGTGAACGCTACAATTTGCTCCGGAGCAAATGCTCGTTTGCGAGGGGGGAGTAGCCTCGCTACGCATGAGAAGAGTTGATTACGTATGGCGAGAATGCGTTGCTTTCGTGCTCTGTCAGACTTCTGCCATGTGTTTGTTTAATAACGACACAAGACAAGGCTGGTAACAGTAGCAAAGCACCTCTTGGGTTATACCATCTCAACGAGAACGGGGGGGGGATAGTA